AGAGAGAGAGAGAGAGAGAGAGAGAGAGAGAGAGAGAGAGAGAATTTTGATCAAGTTTGCTCAGTTTCTCTTTCAATCTGAGCTATTTATTCTCAACTAATGAAGCTACTAAAGAAAAAAAAAAAGAAATTACTACATGGATTTTTTTCTCGCCTAGCCTATCTCCGCCCCCCTCCCAAATGGCATAGGGCAGGGATGGTGAACCTTTTCGATACTGAGTGCCGAAAAGGTCACACGTAAACGTTGCATGTCCGTGCTCTCGTCGGGGCCGCGCTCCAGAAAAGCTGAACTTCTGGGTCCTGGCGCACGTGCGCACCCAAAAACCAGCTGACTGGCACACATGCGCACCCTGGTTTTCAGCACTGCTGCACACATGAAGGACAGCTAATTGTTGCGCGCGCACACGCACCAGAAACCCGAGAGGCAAACAGGCAAGGCCGTGCGTGCCGAGCGACATGGTTTTGTGTGCCAGAGGTTCTCCATCACGGGCATAGGGCCAGGCTATCGTGGGAACCTTTGCATCAGCCTACCCCACTGAGTCGGGCAGGCGGGGAAGGTCTGTTGCAGACCTTATCAGCTAAAGAATTCAACCGGTGGGGCCTCGTCTCTTTCTGAATTGTCTAACTTTTTATTATCTACTTGCTTTTAGGATTTTAGTACCTTGCTGTGCACTCTCCAGAGTCCCTCTTTGGGGGAGGTTTATTTAAAAGAGTCATCAGGGGGGGACATAACCCTTGCTTGCCAAATGCCTCTTTCTCCAAGCAGGGTTGGCCATTTCTAGGCTACAGGAGTAACCAGGGGCCCTTGGGCAGCCCCCTTAACCTCCAACGCAGAAGACTTTTCCGGTTTTTGATGGTTATGATGGATTCTAAGAAGTGTGATTAGTGATTTGACCTCTTTAAAAAAATAAAAAAATAAAAACCCAGGCCATTTTTTCCCCCCAGGGAAGGGGACAAAACAGATGCCCTGAAGTTTCCTATAAGTTTTGAAGTACTCATTTCAACCCACTAACACAATTGCCTGGGGGGAAAAAGACTCTTATAACACCACTATTCACCAAATAGATAAATCACTTAAGCACCTCCCCCCCCCCCGGCCGCCGGGTGCAAGGAAGTTTACCTATCCCTGAAGGTACAGGTTTAGCAGCCCCTGCTCCCTGCATTTCCCAAGGAGGCTGAAACCAGGGCGTTTCGTTACCTGTAAGGATGATGTTTGGGATGTTCCCATGGCTGGTGTAACTGAGCTGATGTGGGTCCTGGAGACTCCCGTGGCTCCCGGTCAGCCCCATCATGGCTGCCTGGGAGTAGTTGAGGGTAGAGCAGGGGCTGTACAAGCTATTGGAGCTGATGGCGTTTTCAATCATGTTGAACTGCTCGAGCTGAAGGAAGGAATCCTGGAGATCAGATCAAAGGCCTATTTCTAAGGCCACCAGAGGTAGGATGTGAAGGCCACCATTCCTCCCCTAGTTCTCCTCCCCAACCTCCTTTGAGGTAGATTGCCTCTAAAGACATCAATCCCGCTTGGCTCCACCATTTTGCCCTCTGCCGGGGGTAGGGAATGGTGGCCCTTTTATGACTTGCGCTGGCTCAGGGATTCTGGGAGTTGAAGTCCGCAAGTCATAAAGGAGCCATAGTTCCCCACCTCTGCTCTAGAGCCTTGAAAACTTTTAAGATATTGTAGACTCCAATTCCCAAAATTCCCCAGTTGGAGTAGAAGTCCACCCCACTTTGAAATAAGAGGACTTTTACAAGTAGCGGATGAGGGGAACCAGCTCTCTTCCAGATTTTGCTTTTGGTTCTGGAGGAGGCTGGGAGGCAACCAGACACTAAGAGTAGTCAAATTGAATATCTAGCATCCAACCGCATGGTCTACTGGGGTGTCAAACTCAAGGCCCGCGGGCCAGATCTGGCTTGCAGGGTGCTTAGATCTGGTCTGCGGGGCCTCCCTGGAAACAAGGAAGGACTGGCCCGCGGTGCCTCTGCTAGCGAAAACGGGCTCCTGAGCTCTGTTTTTGGCTGGTACCACCTCTTGTAACCATCTGCCAGTGAAAATGGAGCTCAGGATCCGTTTTCACTGGCAGAGAGTTGCAGGAGGCTGTACGAGCTGAAAACAGAGCTCGGGAGCCCGTTTTTGCTGACAGGGCGCTTGGGCCACCACAGGTGCCAATACAAATGATGTTAAGCTGGCCATGCCCACCCTGGCCACGCCCCACCCACCCACAAGATCAAACACAACCCTGATGCGGCCCTCAATGAAATCGAGTTTGACACCCCTGGTCTAGTCCATGATAATTTCCATGGTTCTTTTCTTCTGAGTAAATGGTGCTTAACATTACTTCTGAAAATGAGGCAAATGACCTTTTCGTAGCCGAGGGCGGCACTTGTCAAATGTAGTAATTAAATCTAAACCACTTATCAATTAATTATTAGTTAAAAGTAATGAAAAATCATTCATGTCAACAGAAAAGCAGAGCTCTCAATTCTGAGGATCTTTTTACATTTGGAAGTTGTTATTAAAATCTGTGCTTTTCAAACTTTTTTTTTTCTAAGGCCGCAGAACCAATTACTTTAAAAAAAATACACACTCTAGAATTCCTGGCCAAGAGGCAAATCTCTGGTGATTGAGAACTGGCTGCTCCGAGTTAACTTTTTTTTCCCCTTCTCCTTAAGTCTCCTCCAGAACCCCACCAAGTTTTTGTAGAAACCTGGGATTCCCCCAAACACAGCTAGAAAAACCTTGGGCTAAGCCAGTCTGTAGTGGCAATGCAGAAGAATGGTGTTATTTAGTGACATAGTTTGATTTCTCCTTTGTGTGAAGGAAAATCTACAGTTCATTCTGAGCCAGCCTGTTTATTTTTCACTCTACCTTGCTGAAAAAAGAAGATCCGGGGGAGAGGGTGGGGGACAAAAGGGGGGGGGAAAGGAATTTTCCCGTAACTAAACAGTGTCTCCCACCGTGAAAGTCTCAGACTTTCGATGCCCATCCCAGGATCATGTGTCACACAATCAAGATCAGATTTTGCAGCCTTCTGAGGCTATGAATTCATAATGCCATATTTTGTTAAAAACTGTGGGATGGTTGTTATGGGGGGGGGGGTTATGCATGGAACCTAGCATTCGAGCCTAAGGAGATTCTCCGTCATCCAGATCATGGTTGTCTGAAAGGTGCTACTTTCTTGGTTTTTCCTTGAAGACGTTTCGCTTCTCATCCAAGAAGCTTTGTCAGTTCCAAAGAGCTGAAGAAGTTTCTTAGATGAGAAACGAAACATCTTCAAGGAAAAACCAAGAAAGTCCAGCTGCCTTTTGAAAAAAGCACTTGATTGATTTATTGCATTTCTTTTGCACTTTTGGGGACAACCTAGCATTAGAGAAACTGGCTGCCCTTGGGATATCCCTGTTGTGGTTATGAAAGAGCTCCTGACATCCTCTAAGAGATTTGGGTATCATCTTGCTTGGTATGTATGTCTTTTATTTTAGACTTTTTTAACGTTATACTTTAACTCTGCTTGAGCTAATAATGCTTAAAATCCCTTTATGTATTCGAGTGTTCATTGTCTTAGGATCCAAAAGAACCCAGTGGGCACTGAACACTGCCCTGACAGTTGGCAAAACACAGCCAAAGTCTTCCCGTGTCCACTTTGCTACATACTTTATCACAGCTTTAATGGATCTTACTCCAAAAGCAAGCATCTCAGCCCAAAAGTCTAGCAGGCATCCTTACTTTCTGCATCTTCCCACCAGAGGGCAGCAATGCTCCACGGCTGGACAAAGGAGACCTTGAATTATTGCCCTAATTTTTACTTCATTAAATTCGTCTATCCTATTTATTTCTCAGCATTGGCTGACCTTGTCTGGATTTGTAAATTAAGAAGGATCAGGCTTCACCAGTAGTTGGATGAAAAACCACCAGTGGTTTCCAGAGCTTAATTGGAAAAAAAATATCGCACAGGGCAAAAACAATCTATATCCACATTGTTGCCACAAAAATTGCATGGATGGATCTGTGTAATCCCAGGAATCAAGGTCAATTTTTAATCTTATTTATCTTTTTGCATTTATACTTTGCTTACTCACTCTTGTGATGCACAAAGAATGGTAGTCAGAAGAAACATAAAAGTGCAAACGGTTTTAACCACGAGATTTGCACTTCAAAGGTCTTCAAGATGGAGGTAGCAGAATGAATGTGGTTTAGCCAGTGACATATGCTATAATATTTCAAATTAAATTTAATTAAAGATACTTTTTGTGTCTTCTATTGTTCAGCTGCAGCAAGGCACCAATAACCTCAGAACTGTAGAAATCTTTTAAAAAAAGGTCAACTTAGGAAACATGGGGCCATCCATATCCATTCATTTTAATTTAGGACATAGGGGAATCTCTGAAATAATTTATGTGACGTTTATCAAGACTGCCAATGGATTCACGTAATCACACTCCCCAATTCAAATAGAATTACTCAAAAAGTGTGCTTGAGAAATGTGAAGCGGTAAAGAATCTCTTCTTAGAGAAGTCAACTTCCCCCATTATGTTGCAGAATTCAACAATAAGCAACTCTTTCAGGATTTCTGCGCTGGGGAAATTCAATATTGAACTTAATGCAGGAAAGGAATCCCTGTGGAAGCTGCTTGGAAAGAGGGAAAATCAGAATGGCCCTTCGTGAAATTAGCTCTCTGTCGACCCAACTATCTGCTGAGATGGTTGGTACCTTTCTGCTGTAGACCAGGCCTTGGTTGCTCAATTCCATTACAAGCAGTTCTTGATTTACGACCACAAATGGGACCCGAATTTCAGTTGCTAAGCAAGGCTTCCTACACTGACTTTGCTTGTCTGAAGCAAAGCACCTGAATTCTGATCACATGATCACAGGGGATGCTGCAACGGTCGTTAAGTGCAAGGACTGCTTGTAAGTCACGTGTTGTAATTTTGAATGGTCGCTAAACGAATGGCTGTAAGTGGAGGACTACCTGTACGTAAACGAAGTACATTTCCCACTCACCTGATGGGATAAAGCATTTGCTTGTCTGGCAGTCATCTGCTGATCGTAACAAGAGTCGCCGAAGACACTCCCTAGGATAGACGTTTGCTGCAAGAAGAAAAACAAGAATTAATGTAAAGTCAAGCCCATCCAATTTTTATAAGTTCAGAGTGGAATTTGGCTATTGCCTTTTCATCCCAAAATGGTGCTCCCAGATTTTACCATTACATTTTGTTGATTCTAGGATTGATTTGCTCAAATTGTTAAGAAGCTATTGACTGACAAGGCAGTGTTCTCAGAGTGATTAACCGAAACAGAACGCTTATAAAAAGGGAGGGATAATTTGGGAGTGGGAGAAAAAAAAAAGATTTGGGAAATAGAAAAAACAATGCGTTTACAGCCCTATCCATCCTAGATAATGACTGCAGAAGAAAAACGTAGATTGGGGAAAGAACACTACCATTCAGAAACATTTCTGCATATATATTTTAAACACTTGGGAGTGGGACAGAGAAATGTAACCTTATGACATTACAAAAGTAGCGGTTGCTAAAGGGGACAATTATACGCTGATGGGTAAATTATATATGGAAATTGTTGACCTACATCAATCAAAGTTTCAGCCACCTTGGACAATTCCTGGCCAATCCCCAACCTTTCCTTTCTGGTAATGCAGCTTCAGTTTCACAGAGTTCTTACAGGAAACGGGATGGGCAATTCTGGCCCATTTTGACCTGTGGACTTCAACTCTCAGCATTCGTAAGCCATCTGGCTCAGGAATTCTGGGAGTTGAAGTCCGTAGGCTGTAAAGGGACCTGTTCTGACCTTGGCTTCCCCAAACCACGAAGCAGACTCCTTGTCCTGACACAAAACCCTTTTTATTATAAGTTACTGTGAATTCCTCTCATTCACATCCAGCAAAGTCTTTCAAGGGTGAATTTTACAGTCACAAGCCTTATCTGGCTTGGAGACCTGCCAGGCCAATATTTTCAAAACTTGGCAAGGACCCTCCGGAGTGACGAATCAATTAAGCAAACTAATTGTCTCCTGCAAACTCCACTCCCCTTTCGCTTCTCTTTTATTCCCAATGGGAGGGGGGCATTTATTGTTCACCTGTGGCCTTACTCCCAAGTCGGCACTTGTTCCTTAGCTGTTCCCTTTGTCTGGCAACTCTGCACATGCGCACACTGGGAATAGGCTCCAGCTGTTCATCTGCCTCACTGATGTCTGACTCTGAAGCAGCTGATAACTGTTGGACAGCCGCCTCTGACGCAGAGCCCTCGTCCAAGCCTTCCCCAGACTCCAGGACTGGCCCATGTTCCTCCCCAACCTCCTCACTGTCTGAATCTGCTGCCAGCTCTGCTGGCGGGCCACAACAGAACCATAGTAGCTCACCCCTTTCAGCTGACCATGGCCTCTCTCTGGATCATCTGGAGTATCTACTAGGGATGGGGTTGAGACATAATTCCATTCTTTCCTAATTGGGTGACTCCAGTTGGAACATGGAACAGAAACACCCAAAGTGGTTCTGCCTGTCCCAATATGGGGTGCCACAAGGGCTTGGTCCTCTCCTCCATGTTATTTAATATTAGCACCGACAATGTCACCTAGTTTGGGTAACAAAACGTCTTCAAAAAAGCAAAGCAAGCTCAGAGAGCACCGAGGACCCCTCATATTTACCCTCTATACGAAACCACCAGGAAAGGACATACATTGATTCCGAGTGAAGTATCATTAATATCCCAAATGATATGTAGATATCCCCATGCCAGAACTGGACCAGATATGCTGTACATGTCCCAAATCTGTGAAAAGCATGCATGCATCTAAAGAAGTTCCCGCTCCATGGCAGCAAAATCCTGTTGCTGTTTGCTGGTGATAAGTTAGAATTGCTCCCAGCCTGTTGGTTTTTCGCAAAGCTTTAAAAACTTATCTGTGTACACGCAGTCATTAGGCTCGGAAGGCATTAGAGGGCCTGTTACTTGGCCTTTACGTGGCTGCCGCTCTGTTTATTTACTTGTGGATGTTTCAATGTCGTTTTAAATTCTTGTTTGTATTCCCCTTCCCTGGTTGAGTTGTAAGCCGCCCTGAGTCCCCTTCGGGGGAAAAGGGCAGCATATAAATAAAATCAATCAATCAATCAATCAATCAATCAATTGTTGCTTTTTTTAAATGTTTTATCATGTTAGAATTGTAAGCCGCCCAGGGTCTCTTGCTTGATTTGGGTGGCTATAGAAATGGAATGAATGGCCCAGGATTCAGTTTCTTGGCCCTCTGATCAGTGGTGGGATCTGGCTGGTTTAATGACAGGTTCAGTGATCGCGTGCTTTGTGCATGTGCGCTCCACACACGTGCGCAGTTTTAACAAAACTTACCTTCCAGGTTAATTCTGGGGAATAACACAGCTGAGGCGCGGCAATCCGCTCTGCCGAGTGAATCAGCTGAGAGGGTATAGGTAAGTAATGCGCAGGGGCGGGCAGGCGGGCCCACCTGATTGTCGGAGCAAACCGGTTCGCTCCCCAGCTGATTGTCAGAGCTAACGGTTCGCCCAAACCGGCTGAATCCCACCACTGTCGGTGATGTATGCGTGTTACTATGTCAGGATTCTGCTGTGAGAACCAGAGGATGGAAATTAGGGGCTTCAAGGTGGGGTGGGAACATCATGGAAATGACAGGGATGGGGGCGGAAATGGGGACACACTGGATGGCTGCCTTCTGCTCCAGACCTACAGGCTGGGCCCTCAACAGCTGAACGGGGCTGAGGCAAAGGGGGAGATGCTGCGCTGGAGCCGAGCCTGTTGTTCTGCTGCAGTGCAGCCCTGGGACATCCGCCTTCCCTTCCGGAGCACCGCTGTCGCCCCTCTTGGCCCCAGTGCAGTGGCAGAAGGAAGAAAGTGAGTGGGGCCGGTGCTCCGGACAAGAGGGTGAGTGGATGTCCCACCAAGCTCCAAGCGGCGGGGTATTGCACCCCCTCCCATTTACTCTGCCGCGCACACGGCTGCAAAGGTTGCTGGGCTGCCCCCTTGTTCTCGCCGCGGCTTTGAGAGACTACTGGCTGGTGGGGAGGAAGGGAGGTAGGCTAGCGGAAATGCTTACCTATGTGTAGGCAGCAGGAAGCGCTGTTTGCACATGCTCAGTTCAATTAAAATAGAAAATTCAATTAAAAACAAGATGGCGGAGAACCGGTTTGGGGGCGTGGCCGGCATGCAGGTACTACCAGTTCGGAGAGCCAGCCCTGATTTTTACTACCAGTTCTCCTGAACCGGTAGGAACCNGGGGGGGGGCGCAGTGGGGTGCTGTGCCCCCTGTTTTAGCTGTCAGGCACTATGGGCCGGTCCTTTGCTATTTCCAGGCCGGCCCCACAGGTCAGATTTAAGCACCCCGCATATAAATAAAATCAACATTCAACATACATTACGGATCTGGCCCCGCTTACGGATCTGGCCCACAAGCCTTGAGTTTGACACCCCTGCCCTAGTCATCTGATCAAAATTCGGGTGCTTGGCAACCAGTTCAAACCAGTGTCCTGAGATCATGTGGTCATCTTTTGCGACCTTCTGACCAGCAAAATTAATGGGGAAGTCACATTCAATTAACAACCGATTTAACAACTACGGTGATTCACTTAACAACCGCGGCAAGAAAGTTCACAAATGGAGCAAAATTCACTTAGCAAACGTCTCGCTTAGCGACAGAAATGTTGGGCTCAATTGTTGAAAGTCAAGGGCTACCTCTGTTCTTATGTGGCTGACTCAGAATACCATTAATATTTCGACCACAGCTTTTCTCCAGGAGCTCACAAAACAAGCTGAATAACAGCTTCTGAAAATGCCTTCGGGATCGGATCGAATCAAATCGATTCAAAGGAAGGAGGACCTGAGCTTTGTTCCCCCCTCCCATCTCTAGGGTCGCTTGATTAGTGAGATGGGCAGCATATACACTTAATAAATCAATAAAATCTCCCTGCTAAATCACTCTTCCCCAAATTGGTACTCTCCAGAGCTGCTGTGCATTAAAGTATCAATGATTATCAGGCAGCAGCATCTTCCTTTAATGGCCCCACTAATCCCTTGCGGGTTGGAGCCTGACTGAATGGAACTGAATGGAATTGAAACTGAATGGAGTTGAGCGTTTATTGGCCGGAGGCCGTTCCTGTCACCAATGCGGAGTTATATTCAGCAGATATATTCTCATCATGCCCAGTGAGAGAAATACCTGGCTCTACCTAGGATCAAACCCAGAGCCTCCCGATTGTGAGGCGAAAGCCCCACCTCTGGGCCACCGCACCAACTCATTATTATCAGGCAGCATGCTGAATAAGAAATTAGTCCAAGAAATCTGGAGGGTTTCAGGATGGGAATGGCTGTAGCATTTAATATTAGGTATGTTCGTGCCTTGAGTTATTTATAAAAATAAAAAAGATGGGATAAACAAATCTAAAGCAGGTAGCCCTGAACTTACCATTACAATTGGGACCAGAATTTCTGTTGCTATGCAAAGGGATTTTTAAGTGAGTTGCGCCCGATTTTACAGACTTTGGCCCACTGTTGTTAAGTGAATCACTTCAGTCAAGTGAATCGCACGATCATTAAGCATATCCAGCCCCCCCTCCCCCCGCCCAGCCTTTGACTGTGCTTGTCAAACACCAGCTGGGAAAGTTGCAAATAAAGATTGCCTGATCCCAGGATCCTGCAGCTGGTATAAATACACGCCAGCTTGCCCTGTGCCCAAATTTTGGTCACAGGGCTGTGAGACTGCTGCGATGGTTGTAAATATGAGGACCAGTCCTAAGTCACTTCCCCCCACCCCCCAGTGCAGTCGTAACTAAGAAAACAGTCCCGCCTGGGTGAAAATAAATATCCTGGACAAGACTGGAAGAAGATGCTGTGCTAGAAGGCATTTGTACATGCATGCAAACCAGAGGTGGCATTCTGCCAATTCTGACCAGTTCGTCCGAACCAGTAGCAGAAATCATGGGTGGCCCCTGTTGTGGCCCAGCAGGAGCCGTTGGAACTGCAAACAGACTCCGATAGCGAGGGACCCTATGAGTTGGCTCTGGAAGATGTGGATGACCCTGGAGCAGGGACCAGAGAGGCTGGTTGGTCACCAGGAGGCGCCTGAGGCATGGAGCAGTGGTGAAGGCCAAAGGGAATTGGTCCCAGACATCAGGCCCTGGAGCAGTGGGGAGGAGCTAAGGGAGATGGTCCCGGACGCCAGGCAAAGACGGGCAGATAAGCGNCAGTTCAATTAAAATAGAAAATTCAATTAAAAACAAGATGGCGGAGAACCGGTTTGGGGGCGTGGCCGGCATGCAGGTACTACCAGTTCGGAGAGCCAGCCCTGATTTTTACTACCAGTTCTCCTGAACCGGTAGGAACCAACCTCTGCTGGGTGCCAAGCAGGCGAATTTTAATCAGGTGACCATGGGGATGTTTGCAAGGGTTGTTGTAAATGTGAAAAACAGTGATAAACCCCTTTTCCAGTGCTGTTGGAACTTCAAAAGAGTCACTAAATGAATGGCTGTAAGCCAAGGACTACCTGTACTTGAATCTGTTCCCAGTTGGATGCTGGTTTGGATATAGGTGCGATGGAAGGCCAGGGGTGCAGTCTAGCCCAGTTATCTGGGAGCAGTTTGAACCTCTCGGGCCTAAGGAAGAGAACGGGGCCAAGACAGCTGTGAACTCAGCCTCCTGTTCCTTAAATTCTGGGTAGGCGGAGGGGGGGGGAGAGAGAAAGTGGGGGGAACATGGAGAGGTTAGAGATTCTAGCGGTCGTTAATTGCTCTTTGGGAAAAGGGCAATTCCACCGTCCTCAAGAAGCCATTGCTGGACAATTTTCGTCCTGTGTCTAACCTCCCTTTAGGAAAGATTGTGGAGAAGACAGTTGTGCAAAAGCCTCAGCAGGCATGGAATGAAGCTAATTATACGGATCCTTTCAAGTCAGAATTCCCCTCGAGGTGAGATTGGGCTCCATCCCCATTAGTTTTCCATCAGATCCTCTAAAACAGTGTTTCTCAACCTTGGCGACTTTAAGTCCTGTGGACTTCAACTCCCAGAATTCCCCAGCCAGCATAGGAATTCTGGGAGTTGAAGTCCACAGGACTTAAAGTCGCCAAGGTTGAGAAACACTGCTCTAAAACATAGTTTTTCCAGCAATCTTGGGAAGTCTATGGGGAGCCTGCGAGGTGGTTCTATGATATTAACTGGTGGTTATTCTCTTGGGTTTTTTTTTCATGTTTTTATTTTGACTTATATATTGTTTTAACTATAGCTGTCTTTGTACGCTGCCCAGTCACGTTATGTGAGGTAGGCGGAGATACAAATAGTGCTAAATAAATAGATACATAAATCGAATTATTTTGTGAGGGCCACGTTATTCCTTATTCTAGAGTCTAATCTTCAGAATTCCCATCTGTCCCGTTGGTCGATGCCCACACATTTGGAAAGCATCCAGATTGGGGGGGAAGGGGGGGGAATGACCATATGCTGTATAATAATGAAAAAAACTGCATCACGGGTAAGGTAGAATAAAGATTCTGAAACAGTATTAAATGCGTGCATTGCAAGCTTCTGCAACAGAAAGATTCCCCACCACCACCGCCTTTTCTGCTTTGATGAGTGAGTCTTTTTGCCATGCAAGTACCTTTTGTTCCATTAGAAAAACAGGAAACATGGAGTGGGTGACAAAAAGTCCTTTCCCTGCTTCGTTAATAAATTCTGCAGGTCTGTAGCTCCAAGGATCAATACCAGGTATATTTTAAAGGAATGGGTTTGGAATAAAATCAAGGAATTTATACCAAGGCTCAAATCATATACATCAAGCGTGTTGAACTCAAGGCCCAGGGGCCAGGGCCAGCCATATGGCTCTGGCCCACTCTCTGCCTCCGATGCAGAGCCCTCATCGGAGCCTTCCCCAGACTCCAGGACTGGCCATGCTCCTCCCTAATCTCCCCACTGTCCGAATCTTCTGCCAGCTGTGCTGGCAGGCCACAAAACCTGCCTTACTTAGCAACAGAGACTCTGGACTCAAGAAAGAGTGCAGAGAAGAGCAACGAAGATGATTAGGGGACTGGAAACTAAAACATATGTTGCAGGAACTGGGTATGTCTAGTTTAATGAAAAGAAGAAACTTTGTCAACTAATCTTTATTTAGAATACGTTATAAAGGTTTAAGGCTATTGGATGATTTTGTAATAATTAATGAAATGCCATAAAGGTGGTTGTGTTTTTAACTATGGATTATTTTAGGCAAAAGGACACTAAAACAATTTCAGTCAAATGAGAACTATGCTATGTTGATAGTAAGACCCATTAAGANCGCGGGTTATTCGCGTGTGCGGGTTATTTGCGTGGGCGGGTTATAGGGGTGAAAATACGGTAATCTTGTGTCGGCGTGACTCACCGTACGGAGGGGGATCAGAACAGTCCCACCACCCACCCCACCTCTACAGCATCCCATTAACGCTCTTTTTGAAGGTAAAGAGCATGCGTGGAAGGTGCGCGGACGTGATGTGTTTGGGCACACGCGCACACTCACATTTATGAACCGATGGGGAAGGTAAGTGAATACCAGCCCCGATGCAAACGCCTTACCCTGATTGGCTGTGCTGATCCCCATGTGCGTCAGATTGGCAGTGAGGTTCCCGGTGCTGTTGGAACTGCTCAAGGAAGGGAAAGTGGACTCTTCTGGGTCTAGCGGTGTCGGGAGAGGAGAAGGGAAGTGGATATTTGTCAGGTCTGGCAGTGAGCCCCCCGTGTTGTGAGCCGCAGGGATAAGGGCAGTAGTGTTTTCTTGGTCAGCTGATGGAAATATGCTGTGTTTATGACAAAGACAGAGAAAAGGATACTTTGTTAGATGCAGGCCAAGGCCTTCTGATTTTATTGGAATTCAAAAAAGTAAAATAAGGTGATCGTCTATGGAGATTCTCAGGCATCCAGGTCATACTTGTCCCACAGGTGCTTCCCCCCCCCGCCCCCCAAGCGGCAAGTGGGCTTTCTGGTTTTTCTCTGATGTTTCATTTCTCATCCAAGAAGCTTCTTCAGCTCTGACTGGATGGTGGAGAATGGAAGGATTATACAACTTCCGGATAGGTGGCCATTTGCATTCTTTTAGCAAGTGGTTAAAAAATAATCCTCCAGGTGGCCTTAATGACTCAGTAAAAGAATGCAAATGACCAGCTGTCTGCAAGGAGTATAAATCCTTCTATTCCCCACCATCCATTCAGAGCTGAAGAAGCTTCTTGGATGAGAAGTAAAACGCCTTCACAGTGCTTTTACAGCCCACTCTAAGCGGTTTACAGAGTCAGCATAATTGTCCCCAACAATCTGGGTCCTCATTTTACCCACCTCAGAAGGATGGAAGGCGCCACTACAGCTGTTATAAACAAGACAGCCTAGTTGCCTCTTGTGGGGGGAAGCACTTTTGGGATAAACAGGGTGATAATTCCTGCCTGGAATCATGACAATTTAATCTATTGCCTCCTCCTTTCTTGCAAAGTAAGGATTTTTTTCTTCAAGGCAGCACTCAACCACCATCTTAACAGAAGTTAGCTATCTAATACAATGGAATTTAAAAAGATAGGTATTTAAAACATAATTTTCTAGAAAAGGATAATTACTTTTAAAGATTTTTCAAAGAACCTATTCAAGCTAAGCATCTATTACAGAAATGAGACTGTTTCTATGAACAAGATGTGCCCTGAGTACAATTTAAAACCCAGTTCATATTTATCCCATAAGAAGTCTTAAGTTATGGAGATTTTTTCAGCCAAAACTCCTATCAATTAAATTGTCCTATGTTTCTATTCAGCTGGACTTCTGGGCCACAATCACTTATTTCAGGTTTGAAATAAAGCAACATTTCTATTTTGTGCACGCCCTTAATGTCAAATCTTATCTCTATCACAATAAGCCACAATGTTTGAGTCGAACGATAGAGAACTGTGTTAAGTGTGAATTGTTTGATGCAACAATTGTGTTTAACAGGGAGCATGACTTGCAGTCATATCAAAAACCATGGTTTGTTCATTCACGTATTGCAGAAAACGTGCTAAGCCAAATATCAAAAGAGGCATGATCTTGCTTTGCGATTCTTCATACTCCTTATTGAACAGCAACTACTAAAATTATTGCAAGCCATTACATTGGACTTCTCAGTTATTCCACTTTACTAAAAACACACAGACCCAAAAGAGCAGAGATTTGTTTTCACAAAACGATGGTGCTGGTTTCATATTTACCCAGAAATCAAATATACCCGTGATGGCGAACCTATGGCACGCCTGCACCCCGATTTTGTCCCAGGAGGCTTCAGGGAGGTCTGCTAGGCCCAAAATGGGGAGGGAGGAGGCACACACAAATTTCATTATGGGTGTGGGCACACACACACACACACACACACACNTTGTCTGAAACGGTATAAGGTTTCCTGCCTAGGCAGGGGGTTGGACTAGAAGACCTCCAAGGTCCCTTCCAACTCTGCTATTGTATTATTGTATTGGTCCCAATTATGATTATAAGCTGAGGACGATCTGTATATTTGCTCTTCCAGTTGACAAAAAGCTGATAAGCCTCCACTATTCTAAGTCACAGATGCCAGAAACAGCATCCCCATTGTTGGATATAGTTTCAGAACAGCTACAGGTAGTCCTTGACTTACAACAATTCATTCAGTGACCGTTCAAAGTTACCACGGCACTGAAAAAGATTGACTTGCAACACCATTTTTTCGCACACATGACTGCTGCAGCCATCCCCATGAAAATTCAGATGCTTGGCAACTGGTTCATATTTATGACCATTGCAGCGTCCGGGGATCACGTAACCCCATTTTGCGTGGAAAGGTCGCTTGTTCAGGGAAAGGACAAATTTTTGAATCCAAATCTAGAAATGCATTGGAGCAGCTACAGCATTGCACCTTATGCCTCTCACAATTTCCTTAAAGAAGCTGCACCTTAATCTGGTCCTGTTGCACAATTGCATGAATCTACAATCTGAGTTAACATCACACTGGAAATCACTATCCTCCTTCTTGGTGGTGGTGTTTGGGGGGGGGGGAATGCCTAGCTACTTCACCATGTTGGGAAATAACGTTTTTAGAATCTGCTGGATTATCATTTCACCGGCTAGGGTCCTGCTCCCCTCCCAGCTATTGGAAAGCGTTCAATTTTTATGACTAAGCAATGATGCAAAACCGTGTTATAAACGCCTCCAAGCAGCTCAGTAGATCAGCAAGAATAGATGTAGAATTTATCTAAATTTCCCCCCACGGAATCATAAATGCAGTTTTAATAACTACTGGTAGCAAAAGCTGCTCCAAAGATATTAAAACTGGGACGTTTTTCACTGGTTCAGCACTTCAGGATCCAAGATTAGTCCCTTTGCTCCCTTTGCAAAGAGAGCGTTGGGCAAACTGGAGAAGTATTTGCTCGGTCAACAGTTTCCCTCTTCCCCTTTTAATACAAACTGGCTGAACACCCGCTATAAGGAAATCAAGAGGGCCACCGCTGCTTTGTCAGGGAAAGAAGCTGATTTTTAATGCAGCTCAGTCCTTGAACTGAGTCTAGGACCACGAGGCCTATGCCACCCTAAGGGGCCTCTGTGCCTTAACCCCACTAGCATAGGGCAAGGCACTCAAACGGAGTCATGCAATTTGCTCTCCTGCTTCAGAGACTCTGTTGCAAACCTCAAGCAGAACCTTTCACATCTCAAAAAGAGCCTGGATGCAGCTAGCTTTCTCTCACACACTCATTTTCTTTCTTTCTTTCTTTCTTTCTTTCTTTCTTTCTTTCTTTCTTTCTTTCTTTCTTTCTTTCTTTTCTCTCTCCCTCCCCCTCTCTCACACAC